AAATAAATAAATAAATAAATAAATAAATAAATAAATAAATAAATAAATAAATAAATAAATAAATAAATAAATAAGAATTTTAGTTAAAATAACTAGTGATGATCATCATTAGTGTATAATTTGCCAATAATAATAAACCAAAAAGATTTTATTTTGTTTACTTTAGAGTTAGGATGAGGCCTGATATTTTAGCAAGGTGTTAGATATATGCAAAATTTAGCAAGGAATTTTTTTCATTAGAATATTGAAGGTAGTTTCATAGACAAATTCTTGAGATATTAGCATTTTTAAAAAATCTTTATTGTTATTATACAAATTGATTTGCATGGTAACCTAATCCTGCAAATCTATTGGCCAATTATACACAAGTAATGATCATCACTGTTATAGTTATTAAAATTCAATAAATAAATAAATAAAGAATAAATATTAGTATTACATCCCATTACATAAATTATTTGTTACATGTATCTAATAAAGTAGAAAACTACAGACACAACATTTCATATGACTTATAGGCACAACATTAGCCTGAGTTAAGATTAGAGTTAATAGTAAAGTAAGTATATTTTAATATTGTTGTGCCTGTAGAACTACTCTGTAATAATCTACTAATAAAACTTAAATCATGTGTAAATCAAAGATCAGAATTCACATGCTCACGAACATATCATAATATTGCGTATTTGTCTAATAACGTGATTTAAATTCTTTTTAAATTTTTTCTATTAAGCAATTTCTAACTTACCTTTTTTGCTTCTAAATGTTTTTTCTTTTTTAATTGTACTGAGTTGATTTTACCTTTTTTTTCTAACTAAACTTAGCTGATCTTGTCTTTCTTTTTTAATAGAACATTTTTAAGTAACTGCTATTTAAAATAAGAGTAAAAATAGGCAACACAACCTTCCAATATGCTGATAAAGCAATTAATGCTGAGGCTAGTACTTCCTATGTGGTTAACGCAGTTAATATTAATGCTAAAGCTTGTATCTTTGATAAAAATGTGGTTGACAAAAGTGTGGTTGATGAAAGTGCAGTTGACAAAGGTGTGGTTGATGAAAGTGCGGTTAACGAAGGTGTGGTTGATAAAAGTGCAGTTGATAAAAATGCAGTTGACAACAAAACTAATTCTTTTTGTAAAAATGAAATTGCTAAAGAAGCTAATGATATAAGTATTAATAATATGAAAGAAGTTTGTTTCAAGTTCAAGTTTAATGTCTTTAGCAAATTACAGATGTGTTTTCAAATGAAGGAATATATGATTTTTCTTTGTTAAAGGTTGGTTCTTCATTTCAAATATGGAAGGAAGTTGACTCTTTCTTTAAAGCATATATTTAATACAGTGAATTTGTTGTTATTAAGAAAAGGGTTAAGCAGCATAAAGATAGTACAATTAGGCATCATTTTTTGAATACAAATTTGAGGAAAATACATTCCTAAAAAAAATTGATATTAACATTCACCACAAGTGACAATCAAAATGTCAAGGATTTGAATAGCATATCAACCTCAACTTTCTTCAAAAATCTAGTTACATTACAGTTACAACATATAGTATTAGATTCAGGTTAATTAGGAAGGAAGTACTGAACAACATTGAATTTTATACAAAAAATGGCAATCTGTCAATTACTTTACAACATCAGTTACTAAGGGCGAAATATTTTGATGCGACCTTTCTAAATATAGATCTCACCAACACCATTCAACATTATAAAGCTAAAACTAAAAAAGATCTTGAAAATAATGCTTCACAACTTTTATCATTTCTTACCAATAAGCATGCAGAAAAGTCTGGTTGGAGAATTAAATTTGAATTAGACAGTGACAACCACCTCATTTGACTTTTTTGAATAACCCTTAAACAGATATCCCTTTGATTCAAATATCATAATATCATCCTTAATGATAATACAGCTAAAACGAATTGATATCAAATGCTCTTAGCTTATTCCTCATTATTAATAATAACACAAAATCTCGTTTGGCTGCTCAAGCACTAATCTCTTATAAAACAGTTGATTCTTATCAATAAATTCTTCAGTACACTAAGAAAGCTACTGGGGTTGAGCCTATAGTTTTTGTAACTAATGCAGATCTAGCAATATACAGTACATTAAAGCAAGAGTATGAAAATACTAATTTGTTACATTGTATATATCATATCAGCCAAACCTTCTGAAGAATTTAAAAGAAAAATTGTGTAATTCTTATAAACAATTCATCAGAGAATTCTTCCTTTGCTATAATAACTTGGATAAGATGTTATTTGAGTCAAGATGACAAAATTTGTTAGAAAAGTTTTTATCTGCGCAAATTATTTGAATCGAACTCTTTATCCTAGTTATTATTCATGGGCTTGTACTTTTATATCTATAGTTTTTACTGCTAGAATTCAAACTACATTATGCATTGAAGGGTATATTTAAATAGAGTTCAATAAATTAGAACTTTAATTAGATTATATTTAGAATATAAGGTTTGAGTATTTAGTTAGTGTTAGAGTATTTAGTTAGAATTAGGGTATTTGGTTTAGGTTAAAGTATTTAGCTAGGTTTGGGTTAGGTTTGGCATAGGTTTTTATAAATCAAGCTAATATTAGAATATCTTTTGTATGAAATAAATTTATAATCATGTTAGATATTAACTAATCAATTTATCTGAGATTACTTTTACTGTAGGGTGTTTATTTCATTTATTATTTACACCTCTGTGTTTTGATTTTTTTTAATTTTGCTTTGAAATATTGATATGTCTTACTAAGTTTTGTTTATTTATAATACAGTATGACAATTATACATCAAATAACAATTATAATAAACCTTTCAATCACCCCACTGATAACATACATGAAACACAAGTTAGCTATCTTTGCTCAGGCATTTTGTGCTACTATGCTCAGTCTTATTGCAGCTACAACAAGTATATGGCTGATGATATGCTTTTTCTATGACCTTTTCTATTACTTTTTTTGTAACCTTTTCTATGACCTTTTTTGTAGCAGCCTTATATCACTTAGTTTTAGGTCTACTCTTATGCTTGGTGATTGGAGAATTTGCAACTGCAGAAATATTTTCCTTATCACTGTCACTGTCTTCAGACTCTTCATTTTGTAAAGGATGTTTTTGTTGTTTAATAAAGGTTTGCAACCATTGTTCCATCTTATTATTATCATTTTCAACAGCAAGCTGTACAGCTTATTGTGCAAGCCTCCAGATTTTACCATACTTAGAATGTCAGGATGCTGCACATCAGTTGTTCATTGCTACTAAACAGGAAATAGTAAGAGAATAAGGAATCAAAGCCATTGCTTGGCCTTATTGAGCATTACCAGCATCCAAATTTGCAAAAATCACATTTTTCTGATTAATTGCCTCTTTTTTACTATTAGAATACCAGTGTGATGCTACCATTCCAATATAAAATCCAGAAATTTGCGATACTAAACTTATCTAAAAGTAATGTCTACATAAAATACCACAAGATATGTTTGGCATACAAGTGCATATATAAGAAACAGAGTCAAAAACAATAATAAAGTGTTTCTCTTATTGTTCTCTGGCTATTTATCAGTGATTTGCCAAATCTCCTTAATATTGCCTTAGTTGACTTTTGAAATCATTGATTTAAGTAATATTTGCCTTGCATTATAAATGTCTTCAATAAATTGATCATCTATACTCTCATTATCATCATTAAATTCAATTAATATTAAATTAGCCACATTGCATTGAAGTATGAACATTGGGCTATTTCTATATGTTCAATAGAAAGGATCTAAGAGTCAAGTATTCTGAGAGCATATAGTCAACAGCAGATAATATTTCACTATTACAGATGCAATGCTGACATATGAGGATATAGTTTGATACTTATAAAAATAGTTTTACTCAGCCTCTTTTTCTAATTGTGAATTCAAAGTTTTCATCAAGTCATATAAACTACCGTTACTATGCAATACCCTTTTGATGATATTGTTATATCTGTAATATAAATAAACAAAACTTAGTAAGACATATCAATATTTCAAAGCAAAATTAAAAAAAATCAAAACACAG